TAAAAAAAAAAAAAGCCTCCCAAATTGTATATCAATTGACCTCTTTGTTAGCGAGAATAGTTTATATCCGTCCTAATACAACTAAAAACAAGAGAAAAACATGACATTCTCTGCTAGTTCCTGGCAAGACAGAAGATGAGAAAGACAAAATTGACCTCAACTTACCTTCAAAAGCAATACCAAACTTTTGATTATGCATTCCATACTTAATCTTTCTATGTAATGTTAAAGTAATGCTATACAGCACAAAAGCAATCTTGTTAACTCTTATTAACCTTATTTATTTTTCAGTTTTGCTTCAGAATTTTTATGTGACTTTGTAAGAGTCTCACATATACATAAACATATAAATTCTTTCGTTGATCAGATCAATAACTAGAAACAGGTTTATTTCCTTATTGTAGATGATTACAAGTGATTATACGTATAATGAAGTAAAACAACTTTAACAGGGCATCAGGGAGTTATAGATAAAAATATGACTGCGAATTCATTTCAGTGTCATCCCAGTACCACAGGCTGAAGAGCGCGAGACTAAGAATGGCAAATTATATAAAGCATTATAAAGTTTTAGGAAATTTAACAGACTGGTTTAACATGCAGTAAAAATGACAACGTAGAGAAAAGAAGAGGAAGTGCCAACATTCTCCCTAGAACAGACTGTACTGATTACGCTTTAAGGGCCCTTGTGCTATCTGCCCTAAAACCTGTAAGACAGGGAAGGAGGAGAGAGGGCAAACCTTTGTACCACAGGGGAAACTAAAGAAGAATGTCGCAGGGTCAGATTCACAGCTGAAGGGAGTTTAATCACGATGTAATCTTTCGCTTATATCAATAGTCAACCTTTTATGGCTCACACTGAAAGAAAATAAATTTTCATTTAAATTGTTTCAAAATCTGTTAAATTATTTGGTGAACTTAATCTTAAAAATGGTTTGGATTTCTGAATATACTAAGCATCTTAATGTCTAGAGAGGTCAGCGAATTGTTTATTCTCATAAAAGCAGTTTGGTCTGGGCTTTTGCCAAAAAAAAAAAAAAAAAAAAAAAACAATGGATAAGTTTACGAAGAGATTGTCTACAGAAAATGCAAAGTTTATTTCAGAGAATACCTGCATGAATGTTCCTGTGTGTAAACAGCATTTTCAATAAAGGACAGTCAATGAATATTAAGATTTGCAAACACTTCTTCAAGTATCTATTTCACTGTGTTTCAATTATTCTTTTTACACAACCTAACTGTGTCTATACCCCTGTCCAACTCATTTCAGAAAACCATGAATATCCATTAGTGCTAAGACAGTTTCAGCTTCTTTTAAAAGACACTTCCAAGAAACTTATTTCCACTTAAAATACAATTATTTGTCACTGTTCTAGGCATCACTGAAAATATCAAAACTCCTAAGCGTTATATTTAAATTAAAGTTATCTTGTATTCTAAAAAAGACAAAATAAGAATAAAAATAAGACTAAGAATATAAATGTAAAGTTTCTATTTTACACACATAAAATAGTCAATAGGAAAGACAAATTTCATTTTTAATTTCTGAATTTTCTTATTGGTGTTGAAGGTGGTAAATTAAAAACTCATACCCCCAACTTCTCAGGGATGTTGAGTAATGACACACTTAATCTAAATACACTTCTCCATAGGTTGTTGAAGGTGTTTTTAGGTATTGCTTTTAGTAATGGAAATAGTCTCCTTAATAACTGAAATGTACATAGATTTGGATGCGGGTATATTAGCGGAACTCTTGGAATTTAACTCACTGCATCTGTACGTGGATGTTCCACCCTTTAAAAATCATACACGATATCTACAAATGTATAACTAAATTAAAACATCATTGTGAATAACCCAGAAATTTATTTTTTCTAATCCTATATCAAATAACTGAATATTATCACTCTCAAATTTCCATGTCAGTCTCCATCCTAAGCCGCAATTGAGTCTTTGAAGGGAACCCTGAGACTGAGAATGCAGAACCCCCAGCGCACAGTGTGGGACCCTCTACATCTTTCCTAACCTTCAGGAGCACATTTCCTAGGAGTGATGTTACCGACACACCACCTTGCCTATAAAACAAGTAATCTCTATAAATAATATTACGCTTCACATGATTCCAGATCAGGTCAAATCAAGAAAACACTGGAATCCATTTAGTCTCATTTTCACTTTCGTTGATTAATGAATGATTTCACTAATGAATTTTGTAGACTAGTCAATGTTTTCAACAATCATTTCTGCAACAACCAAATTTTATTTTATGCCTCTATTTTGAAAATTAAGATAGATAATTATAAAATTTATATTTAACACAAAGAATACCAAAAGCGAAGTTTTTCATGCATTGTTTTGAGGATGCACCCTCAGTTTCTTATCCCGTATCGCTGAAGGGTGTATATTTCAACCTCTTCAATCAAATTAAAGAGGTGAGGAGAAATCAAACCTATTAAACATCTGAAGGAGATCACACCACTGGATGTTCTGTTCAGCTGGTACTTCCAAAGGGTTCAAATGCCTTTTCCTACTGTGATGTCTTAGAATTCAGCTCAACTACACTTTTTATGAGTTTTCTGTGGAAAAGGAAATGATATATCCCCTCCCAAACAGTGTTTCTAATTTCCGTCACATCTTGGAAATTAAGAACACTGAGAATTTCAGTGAGCACATAAGTAGGGATAAGGAAGATTCAGACACCCATAAAGATTCAGAGTTCCTCTTTTCCCATCAGCGATGCACTTGTGCCACTTGCTTCCTTACAACGCTACACATTTTAGATCACTGATTAACAAGAAGAATATGCAAAATATAATTCTCTCACTCACCAACTCTCCATATATTTCACTTTGTTTTACCGCTGATTCCAATATGTTGCAAATTTCACAGTCACCTATTACACAGACCTGCTAAATTATATAAGTAACACTAGAAATTCAATTCATTTTTTCTTTGGTAAATAAATTAATGAAGCTTCAGTTTGAGGAGTTACAAACACAATTGCAAACCCTTTAGGAAACGTGGACAAATAGATATTTGAAGGAATATTAAAACAAATGTGCACATTCACACCTCTTTATATACAGGTTTGCTTTCAGATAAAGCAAGCTAGGGAGGCGCTGATCTCTCCACTCTGGGTGAGGCTGCGTGGCTGGTGACAGTGCTGGCTTTCATCAACAATGATCTGACCCAGGCACGTCAGGTGTCTTGGCCCAGCAATGTGACAGACACAGAAAGCACTTTACAGAAGCTCCTGGATTACACATGGATTAGAATCTCAGGAAGCTGGAAAGATCTGTGCACACCTCCTCAGGCCTTGGCTGGCTACACAGCGAATCTGTTCTAGGATAACGCAGATTTTGAAGTCAATCACATCAGAGAAGTCTTAGCATTTGGACTGGGTGGGATCATTCTCTCTAACCCTTACAAAGGGTCATAATGGACTTGAAAAGCTTGTTTATTTCTCTGTTAGTGCCTGTTTCAGAGTGCCTCCCAGCGAGAGGCAAAGCGGGTGATGTGGTTACAGAAGCTGATAGGCAGGTGCGTCCTGTGAGGAGGCCTGCAACAGTGCTTATGTATGAACATGTATGATTCCAGTTTATTTTTCTTTAAAACCTAAAAAAGCACTCTTAATTGCAGACTTTGTGATCCTTTGAAATGGCAGCTGAAGTGTATGATATTTCAAAGCAATAAGAAATTGTCTCAACAGTAAAATGAGCAAACCGGTTCCAGTGAGAGGGCAGTAGAGGGCCAGGCTCCAAGTGAGTCTTCTCACTGGAGCCCTCACTAACAACCAGTGCTCTGTTGCAAGCATTTTGGGCAGACAGGGTGCAAGAAAATGAGAGAACTCAGTCTCAGGCTGTTACTGGGTGGGGAGGCGGGGCAGGTGGGGAAGAAGAGGGAGCGAGAGAGGGAGAGAAAGAGAGAGAGAGAGAGAGAGAGAAAGAGAGAGAGAATGAATTCGGATCCAGCAACACCGGTTGGAGTGACAGTGAAGAGTGAGAGGTGTTTTTGCTAAGCGACTTTCCATTCTGACTGCCAACCGAAGGGTCGGAAGGTGGTGCTGTGTTGATTCCCAGTGCCCACAGAGCCCCCTCTCCTGGCCGCAGCGAGCCGGTCCCAGCTGGTACCCAGTGCACATGCTCCTGTCTGGGTCTGCTTCGCGTTTGTGAAGCTTATTTGCCAGCGGCTGTCAGTCTATCTACGTGACACTAAGAGGCACCCGTGGACAGTTTCGCCCCTCGAAAACGCCCCTGGCGCCCAGAATACTGTCGCTGTCATTGTCACTTTGTAATCTGGCTTTCTCATGGAGGTGTTATTTACAGTTCTACCGGAGTGAGACTCAAACATCTACTTGGGTGCTTTTCTGTTTGCGACCCTTCTTCTTTGAAAGGAGACCGTGCTTAGGAGAGAAAAACCTGCGAGGGGCAGATTTCTCCGCCAAACAGTAAAACATAACCGACTCCAGGACCTTGAGCGACCCGGTCCAGACTGAATTTCCCTGGGTCATGGTCCGTTAGTTTCCGCGACTGGCTCATTTGTGCGCTCCTCCTCCGTTATTTCACTTGCAGAATGGTAAAGTGCCTTGTTTTAAAAGTTGCGAAAATTAAAGAAGGGAACATGTAAGACGCCAAGAGCAGCGCTGGGACCCATATAGTTACCCTGTGATAGCTCTGGTTAACATCTCCGCTGGCTGCGTGGAAGAATCATTCCAGTCATTCCATCCCCACTGGAACGCACTCACTCTCCAGCCGTGCCCGCGCCCCGTAGTGAAGGTGAGACCCATCCCTAACCCGTCCTCCCGGTGCAGCGCAGGACCGGCCACCACCCAGGCAGCCCTACCCAGACGCCCAATTGCAGGGACCCCCTTCCTCAGCGACCACAAGCAGGATACCTGGAGCTGCTCTCGCAACTGCAGCGGAGCGCCCAGGCTAAGGGCGCCACGGGAGCGCAGGTCCTTACTGCGCTGGCTGAAAGGTACATTAAGGGTTTGTTCCTACCTGCCCCAGGTTTTTCCCCTTCTTACTGCCGCTGAAAGCCAGTCCTTGGTATATGCCCGCAGATCGATTGGCGGCCTGGGCGGGCGTCTCACCGCCCAGAGAGGACTTGATGGAGTTGAGTTTGGCCCGCGAGCTGCCAAGCTGGGAGCTCTCCACCATTAGCACCGCGGCCAGGAGGAGTAGGCAGCGGGACGAGTCCTTGCCAGCCATCTCCAGGCGAGGGATTTCCCCAGAAAAGCGCAAAACTCAGAGGGATGCGGATGCAAGGGAAGGGACGACCCCAACCAGGGGCCCCTCACTCGGAGCGGGAGGGCTGGCAGACACTGTTCACCCAACCCTTCCTGGTTCGGGGATTCAGGACCTTAAGAAGTCAGTCTCACGCCTCAGGCCAGGAGCGAGACTCCTTCTCCACCAGAACAGAAAATTCTGCAGTAACTGGAAGTAATCAAAGGCGAAACGCCTTCTCGCCAAGGAGGCGTGACTCAAGGTGTAGGAAGATTCAGTCAGGCGAATCTCGCCACTTGCGTCGCTCCTCACCGTGCACCTTCCTGGTCCGACTTGGGTCACTCCTTTTAATTGGGCAGGAGATTCTCACCCGCCCCTTCTCCTTCAGTTCTCAGTTACTTTCTCTCCTACTCTGATTTTAACCTTGGCAAGAAAAAGGTCCTCCTTTTCTCAAGCTTGCTGGAGCAGTAAGATGAGGTCCGGAGCTTCCCCGCTAGCGGACGCGTGGCGAACCGCGTTGCCCCGCACTCGCTCACAGCCTCAGCGAAGTGCCTGCGGTGCCCTGGTTCACAAGCCGCAGCGGAGCGCAGCGGGCGATGCGGCGATGCCCAGGGAGCGGACTTGCGCCCTGTGCGCTCCTGCGCTCTCTGCTCTCTTCCCCCCGCCCTCCTGGCTTTTTATAGCTTTCCCGTAGTGGGTTTTATCCTCCGCCCCCATTTCCAGAGTGACAAAGAGTGAAAACGTTTCTCTCACTACCCCCACCCTACCCCCGGCGAGCTCCCGCCCCCTCCTCTCCTTCTCCGTTGCCCCTCCTGCTTCTTCTCTTGCTCACCCTCCCACTTGTCCTTCATCCGAGAACAACTGGGAAAAATAGGATTCACCTCCAGAGGAACAATGCGGAGCTGGGGAGGTCGGAGAAGTTAGGGGAGACTCCCAATTTCTGTCTACAGCTACCAGGAGGAGAGGGACCTTTGGAAACCAGCCGAAGGCAAAGGTGAAGACGGAGAGGGGCGGTGTCTGTCCTGCGCCACTGCCTCGGTGGGAGCTCTGGGGAAGCCCTCCAGACTTCCGAGGAATGAGCATCCGCTCCTTAGCGTTACGTTCTGCGTGCGCCTTCTGGTGAGGAGTGGAACCGGCGCAAGTGAGGAGCACCTCGGTGGGTCCAACCAACCGTTCCGCATGGAGCCCCCGGGGGAACATGAGATAGCCTAGGCAAGTGTTGGGATCGTCTCATTTTCTGCCTCTAGCATCGCCATACACCTAGTGTATGCCTATGTCTCCAGACAGTGAGAGAGAGGAAGGAGGTATCCTTTCCAAGAGTGCGCTCCAAGAGCAAGCTCCATTGGGCATCTTTATCGTGCCAGGCAACTGTCCGCTTTGCACAGAGGAGGGATATCATACAGGAACGAACGGGTTCAGGCAGCCTTTGACGTCCTGCTTTCCTAGGCTTCCTGCCTCAGACCCTAGAGGATTCCTAGGGAAACTTTTCCTGTCAGTCACCCAGGATCCTCAGGTTCTGTCCCTTCTGCATAGGTGACAAGCCCTTGCAAGGATTGGAACGCTTGGGGGCGCCAGTGGCAGCCGCTAAACCTGGCGCAGAAGCGCGGCAGAACAGCACCAGGACATCCATGGCAAAACAGTGCTGGAAATTTCTATTTTTTCCCTCTTTCGCAAACATGTATGTTCTGAAATACTGCAAGTCAATGCATTGAGCCACAGCGTGGCTTTTGGCAAGGAGGCCAGCAGAGGGCCCAGGATACCAGTAATATACTTTCAAAAAGTTTCAGTCTTAACATTCCTCAGCTTTCAGACCTGATCCTGTACTGCACCAGCCTGTCCCGCAGCACGAATTAGATGTGTAGCAAAATGAAAACATTTTTGAGGCCCTTACTTTACGCCAAACGACACTGGGTTCTCATTGTGGGTTTAGAGCTAGTTTTCCCCAGACAGCTTGAGTGTTGCACACCTTTCCGTTCTTACCATGTAAGCTGGTCTCAGGAAACTCTTTATTGTGGGAAAGTTTGCTTTTGTTTTGTCTTTATATGCAGGTAAGCAGGGACTAAACTTTTACTAATTCTCGAAATGTTTTATTAGTTTTGAAATGAATTTTCACATTAATATATATATATTTGTGTATATATATGTATATGTATATATATATGTATATGTATATATATTGATCTGAAAGACAAAAGACAAAGTAATGGAGAGAGGGAAAGAGAGAGAAAGAGAATCGTTCATCAGCTCATTCACTCCCCAGATGGCCACAATGGCCAGGGTTGGGTGAGACTGAACCAAGGAGCTAGCAGCTTCAGCCAGGTTTCCCATATGGAAGGTAGGAATTAAAGTGTTTGGGCCATCTCTATTTCCCTGGTGCAGTAGCAGGGAGCCAAATGATAAGCTGAGTAGATTGTCACGACTCAGATTGGCACTCCAGAATGGGGTATAAGCAGTCGTTTAACCCCCCAAGACCCTGTTCCCCAAATTTTTCTCATTGTAATAGCTTTTATCTACACTTTAAAAAATATGCTTAGGAATAATCCCATGAATGACACTTGAAGACATCATGCTGAGAGAGAGAAACTAGCAAGTACTGTTCTACTTACATAAAGCATTTAAAATGTGAAATAAATACAAAATTTTAGTTCCAAAATAGGCATTTGACTGAACAGTGAAGTCTCAGGGTTGGGGCTTCTGAGTGCAGCCCCTAGTTCAAACCCATACCTTGACTCTAAAGTCCAGATTTCTGCTAATGTTCGCATTGGGCGGCAACAGTGATGACTCAGGTGATTGTGTCCCCACCACAGAGTGGAAGCTTGGTATTGCATGCCAGCCTACCAGCCTGGCTGGGTCCCTGCCGTTATGGACATTTAGGGAGTGAACCAAGGGAAAGTTTTCACTTTCTCTCTGTCATGAAAAAAAAAAAGCTTTTAAAATTCTTTTCAATAAGTAAAAAATTTCAGTTAAAAGGGAAAAACAAAGCTAGAGGTCTGCTCTCCAACATCCACCTGTTGTCAATAATATGTTACACACTGAACAATGTGAGAGGGTGAATCTCATGCTATTGGGCTTTGCCACAGCACAATTACATGTGTAATATAGAAATATAGTTTTATGTATAGTATAATTTTATATATAACACATATATAATTTTATGTATGGTACATAATTTATATAGTAATTATGCACACACATAAGTAGGAATGTATTTGTAACCTTATAAGGAGAAGCAAGTCTTTCCAGGCACCAGTGGAAGAAAAGGATGCTGACCTGTAAGACTCTATGAACAAGCCCCTGGGATTCAGCATTTAGACCTTTCAAAAGGATTGACTTTTGCATTCATTCTGAATCGCTAATAAAGAAACACTATAGCTACACAGAAAAAGGAGCTGGGAGTTTGCGGATTTTGGATATTTTTAAACACTATTTTAAAGCAAAAGGGAACGAAAGAAAATATAGCTGATTATGTAGGCAACAAATCACCCAATATTTATTTTGAAGGATAAAGAATCAAACCACATGTGGAAAAAAAAAAATCAAATGAGACAAGAAAACAACTTGAAGTTGGTGTATCTGCTTCTGTTACTTTACTTCCAACCAAACTAATATCTACCTGCATAGGCCTAACTGTTGATTTATACTACTAAATAGAAAAGTGAAGTAAAGTGCAGAATCTTCAGGCCCAAGCAACTATTCACCTTAAGAACTATAATATCGGGCCTGGCGCGATGGCGCAGTGGTTAAGATCCTAGCTTTGCATGCCCGGGATCCTATATGGGCACCAGTTCTAATCCCAGCGGCCCCACTTCCCTTCCAGCTCCCTGCCTGTGGCCTGGGAAAGCAGTCGAGGACGGCCCAAAGCTTTGGGACCCTGCACCCACGTGGGAGACCCAGAAGATTGGCCGTTGCGCTCACTTGGGGAGTGAATCCTCAGACAGAAGATCTTCCTCTCTGTCTCTCCTCTCTGTATATCTGCCTTTCCAATAAAAATAAAAATAAATCTTAAAAAAATAAGTAAATAAACTTAATTAAAAAAAAAAAAGAACTATAATACAAAGATTGTCTCAGAGGCTCACATGGTGCCTTCCATGCCCCAAAGCAAATATTTCTGGATAGTTAAAATCAAAGTTCAGGTAAAATCTGTCTGCACAAATATTCTTCCATTCTGAAGTTGGACAATTGGCACAACAGTTGAGATACCAACTTAGAATACCTGCACACTGTGTTAGAGTGCCGGGATTCTTCTTCAGTTCCATTCCCAAGTCCAATTTTCTGCTGATACACATCCTTTATGTTTGGGTCTTTGGGCAGCTGCTAATCTGCATAGGAGACATAGACTGAGTTAACTCAGTCCCACCCAAAATCACACATATGGAGTCAAGTGCTAAAACAGAATATTGGCTAAATGGTCATAAAGTTAACCCTATTCATAGCCCAAATGTTTTCTGAAAACTTGTTTGACAGAAAGAAGCAGATACATACAACCCATAGGTAGACACAAAGAAATGCATACGTAAAACCAACCAACTGCAATTAAACATAAACTTTAGAATTACCTTCATAATCTAACATTATTTTTCTCCTGTGAATTTTCCTCAGGATAGAAGCATAGCTTTATATTTTGTTTGGGGAAAAAAATGATTTCTATACCATTTGCAATAATATAATTAGAGTGAATATATAAAGAACAATAGTGTTGACAAGTCGTCTTGTTAAGGAAAAATGTGTCCCAATGGACACTCTTTCCTTTGGATGGTAGGTTATTTGATGAAGCATAATAATTTCCAAATGCTTTCATTTTGTTGGAAAAGATAGGATTTTGTTCTTTTCTTATGGCTGAGTAATGTTCTATAGTGTATACATACCACATTTTATTGTTACATTTCTTTTCTTAGCAATTGTGAATTTAATCGCAATAAAATGAGGGTACAGATAACTCAGATGCTGCTGTCTTTTCCTTTGAGTATTTTAAACCTTAACAGAGCAGTCATATTTCCAGTATTTTATCTAAACCCAGCTGAAAAAGAATTACTGAACACATCTTCCTCTGCTGCATCCAACTAATTAAAATGCAAATAATGTTTTCTGAAACTCAGGTAAATAAACTTCCAATGACTCTTATACACATGGGTGTCCAGCAACAGAGTCTGAATTAGAAAATCCCTAGTTGTTTAGCATCATGTTGTTCCTTAGTCTATCCTGGTGATGCCTTTATTTCC